GCGCTGGACTGCTGTGTGGGAGGTCGAGGGTTCGAGCCCCGGCCGGACCAACACTCAAGGTCTTAAAATAATTGAGAAGAATATGCTACCTTTCTATAACATCAAGAAATGGTTAGATATTCTAGTCTTCTCGGATAGGGACGAATAAATGGAGGTCCCGTCTCCTGCAGGGTTAGGGGTAGGAGACGTTAATTTCCCACGCACGAGATTACTGTGTGATGGATGTCCTCCCCTGGGGTGGGATGGGTGGGTTTGTTGGAGCTTAAACCTCGTAGGGGACCCATGTCCTATTGTTTCTGCTCCAGTACTTGGTACAAATCCTCAAATAAAAAAAAATAATAATAAAAATCATTTCTTTTATTCTCATGACTTTCATGTGTGATTGAGGGGTGATATTGTAAGGAGAAATTAGATGTTGGTTGCTCTGAGGGTTCAAACAGTTTGTAAGCAATTTCCTTGGTACCTTTATTTTGATAGAAATGACATTGAGACAACAGTTGGGAAGCAAGCCATAAAAGAATTCTTCATACAAATGAGAAAAACGTTCAGTGAAACAGTAAGTATTTGGTACCATGAAATCAAGTTTGTTTGGTTATGGTGGAACTTGTATAATACAGTTTATGTAGTTAGTATTCATAGCAATGTGCAATGCTTTTTTGTGGTTCTAATGTTTTCTTTCTTTAAATTTTTCAAACCAGTTTGAATTTTTTTAAACTAGTTTGTTAACTAATAATTATTAAATCACTATTGACTCGGAGGTTTATCAAGCTGTAACTGCTGTTGAAATTAAATGCAAAACCTGTGCTTGAGATGATCCTTAACTTTGTCTGTGTTTTGTATTTGTCACCTGTATCTAAAACAGAGAAAAATGAAAATGTTTGGAAATTTTTCTGATTCTTCCCTGCCTCCAAAAAAGGAACCTCTATATATACATTGAGTAGTATTCCTGAGTACTTTTTAATTAGAAGTTGTGCTGTAATTTGGTGATCTGTATTTTAGCTCACATCTAGATCGAGTCAATAATTTACAATATTGCAGTAATACTCAGATAATACACATTATAACATAACCAAACTAAAGCGCGCACTATGATTGGTCAATTTAGCATCCCCTATTTGCCCATGGGTGTANATCTATCCATTTTTTGATTATAGAAAGGTAGCAAATTCTCCTCACTTATTTTAAGACCAGGAGTATCGGTCCGGCCGGGGCTCGAACCCTCAACCTCCCGCACAACACAATCCGACGCTCTAAACAATTGAGCTAACCGTTTAAAATGGCTACAGACTACTGTTTGTTTAACTAAATTCATCGGTTGATTATCAATCTTTAATTGATAATATGATTGACTATGTGTGTAGGCTCATTCAAGTGTTATCTTCCAGGCAAAATCCAAAGTTAACAAATTACGCAAGGATCTCCTAAGTGTACAGCAAAAAAGGTCAAGGTGAGTGACTTTGTGTTCTATCTACCGACGAATCACTACCCAACGGCATGGACTTATTAACCAGGCCTCTAACTGCCATGAGTGATCAATACCAAATTCTCCAAACTCAAACCATAAGAATAGTGTGGCAGAGAATAGGGAGAATTGCTGATGAGGCCAGTTTTATAGAGTTTAGAGGCCAGGGTCATAAACAAGAGGATTATACCCCAAGGTGTCTCATCTGATATGTGTCTTAAATATGATCTTAGATTAAAGTAATTAACATTACAAAGTTTATTTCAAAGAAGATACATCAGATATGTTGTGTTTTTATTCAATTTAATATACGGGCATTATGGTATGGATATTTCTGATAAGTTGTTGTTCTGTAAAGATTGTGGTGTGGATTATAATTTAGTAGAACAAATATTTTTAAATATACCTTTTTTATCCATATTATTAATGAATGGAATAGTCTTCCTAATAATGTAAAGGATTCTGTCAGTATTTCCAGCCTTAAAGTGAACATAAAGTTACTTCATTTTTTGGTAATACTTTAAAGAATTTCAGATTTAATTCAATTTAATATTTTTATATTAAATTTTGTACTTTGATAATTGTTTCTCAATATTATAGGTATATTTTGTTGGCTTACTGGAGAGCATCCCTTGTATGGTGTCTAGGACGCTTTTGGATGCTGCCTCTCCATCATCATCATTTTTATTCATTATTTATTTATTATTATTATTATTATTTGTTTGTTATTATTATTTATTTATTTATTAGTATTTGTTTATTATTATTTATTTAGCATTTTAGATTTGGAGAAACTGTAATAAATTAAATCTAAGATCTCTTTGTGTCATTCACAGGATCTTGGCAAAAATTGAACAAGAAAAAAAGAAAGTGCAACAAAATCAGGAGAAACAAAAGGTAATTAACTGTAAGGGAAAATAAAAGAACGAACTGTTGATGAAACAAACATTGCTCTTTGGGGGTATTAAAGCTGAGTGCTACATATTTGTAGAAGATTATGTCCTGCACTGTATATATTATTTTGCTGTAGATGAGGTAGCTTTGGCTTGCATTCTAGCAACTGCTCACAGTAATTTTTAGAACCACTCTGGGTAGATACATTTGTTGATGAAGTTTGAAAACATATAACACATGCTAACTTTCTTACTTTTATAACTGTTAAGGTAACACCATAAAACTGATTTCCTTTAATTTCTTCAGGCCCTGGAAGATTTTAGCTCCTTTTTATTTAACCTTGAAGCATTACAAGACGAGTACAGAAGAGAGTCGTCCTCCAAGAAGGCATCCACACAAGTGAGTTAACCATCATCATTTCCCTAAAACAAAAATGATCTGGAGGAAACCTTGCACTGACAAATTATTTGATCATTTTGCCAACAATTTCAAATGAATGAGTTATCTGTGATCAATAATCTTTCTCGGCTAATCATCTTCTTCTCTGTCCAATTGCAGTAAAATTTGTGTTGTGGGTGTAAAAGGTAGCTTGTGACCAAGCCCTCATAATAAACCTTTTAACTCCCAGAAGTGATTAACATGTAACTTCTCCCTATAATATCTATACATTGTCCAGCAAACAGGTAATGAGAATACTCAAACTTATCAAGTAGAAGTTGCCACCTTGACCAAACACTAAATTCTCGTAACTAATTGACAAGGAAATGTCTAGCAGCCAGAGGGGAGAATTAGCAATTAGATCTTGGGAGTTGAAGGGTTTTAATTGGAAAGTGTGAGGCCTTGGGGATGTAAGCAGTTGTAGAGTTAGTGTCACCCCCCCCCCCCC